ATTGCCACCAAAGAACGCGAGAACTGCCATACCAGATCAGAGTCAAATTCCATCAATCCAATGTCCTATCTCTAGTCCTGCACAGGACCAGATATTTAAGAGGAAGATGTCAGAACCCCACTCTAAAGAGATGTCAAATAATTTTACCTTCTTCCACTCAGTCCTATCTTAATCTTTAAGAGCTAGAGATTGGGTTGAGACCTGAAAGAACAGATTCAAATTCTAAAAAAATTTTTTTTCTTGTAAAGGCATTTTCTTCAGCTTTTAAATACTTTTGTGGGCCCTCTTCAGTTGTTTCCAACAACCTTTTTTAATATGGAGACACAAGAAGTTGATGCTATATTCCAGTATCTCTCTCACCAATAGTATATACAGAGATAAATGTGTTTCCTTCCTCCCGGTCATTACTCCCAGCTTATATATAGGGGACCACATTAATTTTTTTTCCGCACAGCATTGTACTGGGAGATTATGTTGAATTGCTTCTCCAGTGTGACCCCTGGCCCTTTTCAGAGTCCCTGATTTTAGTCTCCTGTTTTATAGTTGTGGCCTTCATTCCTTGTTAGTAGATGTATAACTTTATATTTATTTGCATCAAAACACAATTTTGGGATGGGGCCAAGTAATTCAAGATATTCAGTACGAGTTTCCTGTTCTCATAATTATTTTGTCAATCAACATTAATTACAGACTTTATCAGCAGTGATCTTATTTTTACATCCAGATTATTGTGGGAATTATTGAATAACGTTAGACCTAGTACTGATCCTAATGGGACTCTATTAGACATTCCCTGATTCAATGATGCTTCCTGTTGACGAATACTTTTTGAAATGTTTAAGATGGTTCTTAATCAATTCAACATGTGCTTGATTGATCCTTTAGAATGATTACATTTTCATTTAGATACCATGCAGCAAATGCCACCTGTGGCTTCCTGTACTATTTGTTATAATCTTCCTGAGCATCAGAGGGGTAAAATTATTGAGTTGTTCATCAGTTTCAATTTGGGTTACTGGCTTCTGAAATTCATACACTGTATTTACTTGAATCCAAGATAACTTTGAATTTAAGATGAATTTAGGGTGGAGCGGCTGTGGCTCCAACTGATCTCAAGCCTGTGTTGGGGATGGAGTCGCCTGACCCCTGCTTATACTTGAATCCAGGAGGGCTTCCCCTCCATGTTAAATGTGAAAAAGGTACATTGTGTCAGTTCATTCTGCTTTTGATAAGGAAAGCTTTATATAGAGGCATAGGAGGTGGCTCAAATGGATTCAGGAGGATAGATAGCTGTTGAACATTCATTTTACATTTGAAAGGTGACTATTCAGTGTATAAAGTTAGACTCTTTTTTTGTATTAATGAAAATGTAATGTTGCCTCTATTCATCATTAATTTTTTTCCTGCTTATTGTCAGTGAATAGAATTATTCTAAGCACAAGTGAGAATAAGTATCCAAACCAGCCCTTTAGTGCCTTACCGTTACTAACTGTGACACATTATCAGTCTTTTCTTGGGATCTGGAAACTTTCCAATAAGATTAAAAGTAGCAACTCACTTTTCTCACCAGAAGTTCAACCAATTTTAAAATTGTTTTGCAGTTGGATTTTTCTGTCCAAGATGATAGTAAATGTTGTCAGTCTAGTTACATGGTAAGGTAATGGGAAGATTTTTGTATGAATCAGGATTCCTTCACAGTAAGGACATCACTTATTTTGGTATTAACTAGGGATATACACTTAGATTGGAGCAAAATATTGGCAGGCATCATTGAGGAACATGTGTTCTATAAAGAGCATTTTCTTGCCCAGCCAGGTTTTCAGAGTTATGAAAGAGATGTCTTAGTGGGTGAACGTGTAAAAGGAAGGTTTGGGGAAAATGCAAGAGATGTTACATAGGTTTTTGGCAGCAGTGTACTAAAGGAAAGAAAGAGTACATACTTCCCCCCACAGATAAGCAGTCTGTTCTGCTTCATTTGGAGAATACTAGGGCACATTACAACAAAAAAAGTTTGTGAAGAAAGCAGCATTTACCCATTTGTGGTTTCTCTGTTTTTGGTTTCTCCCACCACCCCTTCAACCCAACTGGTTTTTTTTTTATATTCCTGTATTGTGAATATTATTTTTGTATTGCGCTTTTTCTTTTTTCCTTTATGTTCCTCCTTCTCTTCATTGTTACTGTACCTATCGTGCTGCTTTTCTTCTCTTTTCCTGTACATTGTTTCTATTCTTCCTTTCCATCACTTTCCTGCCTCTTACTTCTTTGTATTCTCTTAATCCCTTTTACGTTTCCCTCCATCATTTCTCCTCTCTTCCCCCTGCTTATGCTTGATGCAAGAAGGTCTGGGGAAATATAAGCATTGGCCCAATTCATACTGGCAAATGCCTGTATGTGGTATGAACTATATGGAAGAAATGTGAGTCTACATTTTGGGTTCCATTTAGTGTGAGGTAAGATTGAGAACTGATGAAGAAAGATTCACTTGGAAGATCTAAGTGGTGGGGGAGGAAGTCTAACAGCATGGAAGAGCTCTGCATGGTCCTTGAATTATAGTTCAATTGGCCAACTATGTCATTATGGACTGCTGTGATTGAGCTTAAACAAAATCTTGCCCCTTGAATTGCCATGAGGTGGGTCTGGTAGTAGAAGGGATTGGGAAAACTAGTTATATTAGGAAAACAAAATATTTTTAATGGATACAAACTTTCATGCTTCAGGTCACCAACAAACTCTTAAGAATTAGGAAAATTCACTGAGCATTCCATATGTGTACTGGAACTTACATCCGAAGGCCATGCCTGGACCTTCCTGAGGAGAGGTAAGCAGAGGCAAAGAGCAGTGAGGAGGTTTCTGCAGAAGGAACAGTGGTTCAGCCTGATCCACTGGTGCTGCCCTGGGCCATGTCATACCTTCCTGGGCCTTATCAGATCTCTTTGTGGGCCAGGTCTGGTTTGGGAATTGTAGGCTGCTGACCCTGGCTCTAAAATATTTGTGTTCCATTCCCATCTTGGCAATTTGAAAATATCCTTCACATTTTTGTATTCTGCTGTATTTGTCCATTGGATGGTACCATCTATCGAATTGTAGCAGCCTACAATTATATAAGAGGGGTATATCGGGACCTGGGAGAACAGCTTTTCACCAGAGCTTCCCAAGGGATGAAAAGGTCTAATGGCCATAAACTCTAGGAAGGCCAATTTAGATTAGACTTAAGAAAAAAAGTTCTTTATGGTGCGAGCATCCAGGGTCTGGAACAAACTCCCCCCAGAGGTGGTGCAAGGACCTACTTTGGACTCTTTCAAAAAACATGCGGATGTTTTTGTTGCTGGGGTCACTTGATCCCAGCTGACTTCCTGCCATTGGGGCGGGGGGCTGGACTCGATGATCTCACAAGGTTCCTTCCAGCCCCTAATGCAGGGGCGGGCAATTGGTTTGGGCAGAGGGCCGCTTACTGAGTTTCAGCAAGCCATCGAGGGCCGCATGACAGGCAGCCCAGGACAGATTAATATTAATTTTCTAAATTTTTTAGGGGCCCCGCGGGCCAGATAAGATGGCTTGGTAGGCCGCATTTTTCCTACCCCTGCCCTAATGTCTATGAAATCTATGAAATCTACTGGGTTTAACCTTTTCCAAATATTGGCTTATATTAAGTGGGTGAGGGGAATGGAATGAAAAATATACAGTATTTGAACATTACTGGCACACTTTAAGAAATATATGTGGTCACCAATGAATGGAAGGGAACAGAGTTGGCAGATAGATTGTCTCTGATGTGCATGCAAGTTCCACACATTGATATTTATTAAATTATGCATGCATGTAAGGAAAGTTGCTAAAGGAAAGTATGCTCAACATCTTTACTTATACAAGACAGCAGAGATTTGAGTTAACTCTGTATATTTCCTCCACAATGGCTTTAATTTTGAAATGTGACATTTGCAACAATGAAATTCTTGCCGTGTTTGTGGTTCTTGCATAAACATTGGAACAGTGGCATTTGCAGTATGAAAGGTGTATGTCTCTCCTAACTTGGATATAAGCCCTGTGAGATAGCAAAAGTTCATCCTCTGAATGTGACCTTTCCTAGTGAAAAGGGCATGGCAATACCTGCAAAGCTAAAAGTCACTTTATTTTAACTTCATCTTTATCATCTAAAATAACAAGACATGGAGCACTTCCCTCACTGAAGTAATCACATACACTAAGGTATTTTTATTTGGGGGTCAGTCCTGTGCCATCTGCTTTCTATGTTTACAATTCGATAGAATATAATTGGAATTTTTATTTCTGGCCATTGAAAAACTTATTACATCCAGTTGACTTTTGTTTACTATTTTCCTGATGTGATTTGAAATATGGAAAGTCAATGTTTAGTAAAAAGCTGGTATGGTAGCACACTAAAACATGAAGGGGGAGACCGTGGACTCCTCCCTAGTTCTTTTGCACAATGTGTGTAGCATAAAGATGTCGGGAATCTAGCATAAGAAGCTAACTGGGGATTTACCTACTGTGGGAGATTCCTGGGTAGTAAAGAGCCAACATAACTAAATTCTATGTTGCCACCTTGGATGCGACTAGAAAAAGGGAGCCATGGCTGAAACTTCCAAGGTCTAATTTGGCTCATTGAAACCCTGCAGATTTACTTAGTTTGTTCCAAGATCAGGATGAGTGTAGAAATTACTCCTTATCTCCCCAGTAAATAAATGGCTCCTTTGCATAGCTTTTCCCTTGGTTTCCTCACCCGCTGCTAGGACTTGTTAAGTGTAATTGAAGATTGATCCTGAAGCTTTTTGAAAGTATCCTAGAATATGACTCCAGGTTGTGATGTCACTGCTACAACAAACAAGTAATCTTGTTGTATTTTTACAAAGGCATCTTTGAAATATTTGAAATTACTGTGGTAACTGTGTTGATGCTATTGTTATATGTTCAAGTCTTGAACTGTCAAGGAATTATGAAATATTTTTATCCTGTGACATTTTAAATTAATCTCTCCATAGGGGAAGCCAGTGGGAACGCCAGATGCTGGTGCTTATTTCCGTGTGGTAACGGAGCATGAAGTGGCTGCTTTTTTTACTGCACCAACTGCAATTAGAGCAATCCGTCAACAGGACCCTGAGGCAGCCTTGGGAAAGCAGTACTCTTTGACAAGGTGAACTAAGGATATGTTGGAAATGGTTTGTTATAGAAACAGACTCGATAAACTGAAAATAGTATAGCGTCTGGAGCTTTGGACACCTGTACAAGTGGTAGACTATAAATTTACTCCTGATATTCTATACATGATGATACACTATCTTCGTGTATGTGTGTAAATATATGCAAGATGCACACAGAAAAACTGCATGAAAATATTAACAGTGCAAGATCAAGCACTCAAAAATGAATTAAAGATGCATGTACAACCTTAATTTTACTTTTGCAGTTATACAGTGTTGTACAGGTTTGAGCACACACTTGCATACTGTTAATGCACAGGATGTACAGTGTTTGCATACTGACCAGGCAGTCAATCTTTTGTTTTATCCTCATTGTTTAATATGTGGCTCCTTTATTAACAGTTCAGTATTTACTTAAATTTTGCTCTGAAGACAGAATTAGTCATTTTCCTCATGGGATTTTTTGCTTTGCTTGTCACTATGGTGTCTGCATGCTTCAAAACCACAAATTCTTTAATCTGCACAGAGCCCCCGTTAAGTTAGAGAGTGGTATTATCTAGACCATAGAGTGGGGAAGCTGAGGACAGAGAGATTATGGTTGAAATCTACCACTAATTTTGGAAACCACTTAGGATGTTATTTTTCAGTGTTCTTAACATAATATAGGTCCTTTTGAAAACTTTATAGATCAAAGCATAGCTCCCACTGACTTCAGCTACACCTGTGAGTGTTCAGGACTTCTGCAAATCATGACCTTAAAGGCCAAAGTGATGTACCCAGAAACTGAGGAACACAAATTAGTGACCACCTATGAAAACAGTAATTTTAAATATCTTGTCAAATATCAAACAGGACCTCTGACAGAATCCAGCTACCTAAGGCAAGTCCAATCCAGTGCAGGGGATCAGGTATTGGCTGTGTTGTGCCACTCCTTCCCTGTGCAGCACTCCCCTCCACTGAAGAAGAGCTTGCTGCTCCATTGTGTCTGTGCTTTCTTTACTGTAGAGGGGTCAGGCAACACTGAGAGCAACTGCAGGTAGCTGGCCTCTATGCAGGGAGAGACTTCCATTTGTAGCCACAGTCAGATTACAGGCTTCAGCCCATGTTGCCAGAAGGCTTCCAACTCCTGAGCCAAGAGAACATTCAGTTGTCTTAACTCTGACATCATCCTTTTTCCTAGCTCCACAGGAAGAAAGACAGGACACAAGAGGTATCCTGTCTTTAATCAGCCCATAACTGTCTTAAATCATCTGGGAATTAGTTTGCAATGAATTATGTGGCCCTCGGCATGAATCCTCCTTAATCACTTTCACCTGGTCTAAGGCATCTTCAGCCCATCCACATTGCAGACTTGGTCCCAGCCTGTTGTTGGGATCATACCATCCTCCCTCAAATAACATCTAATTGGTCTAGGGAAGGAGAGTTTATCTTGTCATTGCACTAAGTGTTAGGAATTCCAACCCCTGTTCCTCAGGCTTTTTAGGAGATCCTTTCTCTTAAACCTACTGAAAATGTGATTTTTATCAGGGAATTTGACCCACTATTGAATGAGTTTCTGCACTGTAGACCTACTGGAAACTAACCTGTCTCTACCCTATTCTCAATCCAGCCCAAGTTTCTAAGCAGGTAATGATTCCCTCCCTTTGATATTAGCCAAAAATATATCTGTTCAGTAACTGGGGAGGTGTAGCCCATTCTTCATTCTTGTATAACATGGCTATTCAATGCAATATTCTTGTATAGGTGATCACTGACCCTTCCTCATGGTGTGCAGATTTAGCCACTTACCAATTCCTCCCGATTTGCATCTGGTACCTCCAGAGAACAAGGCAGCTCCCTGTTGATCCTCTGCGTTTCAGACCATTTTGGAAATGCCTCTAGGAAGGGCTCTGTATCTTCGCTTAGTCCCTAATTGTCCTATGATTAAGGCAGTCGCCTTACAAAATCAGTCAATGTTTTCATGTAGGTATACAATACTATCAATTAGCTGCCAGAATCCAAGTCAAACATCAGCTGATTTCCTAGCATGCCCATTTTTCCATGCCGTATTGATTTCATCTTACTGCCAATGCTTAGCTTTGAACCTCCACATGAACAAGCTCCTTGCCTTTGAACCTAGTACCAAAAATTGTTTCTGCATATGCACACACCAGCTTGCTCCAGAAAATTGACCTGGTTCTCAACAAGGGGCATCATATGTACCTTGCAAGCAATGTCAAAGCCCAAACATCTTTCAGTTGCATTCTTAGCATGTGTTTGAGCCACAGTTGTCACCCCAGTCTGAACAAGTGGTCCAAAATTCCCATACAGGGAGCTCTACTACTGTTGTCTTGGTTTTTTTTCAAATTTAAAATTTAAACTTTTTTTTTAAACTGCCCTAAGGAATATGATGCTGAGCTAAATTAACTCCGGTTTTCACTGGTGTTGCTGGTGAAGAACTTGCACTAAATCCTTGATAATCTGAATAGCAATGGGTTATTAGGGATCTATTCTCAAATTTTGGCTTGAGACCACCCTCTAACAGCCTCCTTATTGAAAACTTCCAAAGATCTAATGCAGTGCTTGATGCCTGATAAGCACAGACAGAAGGTTTGTAAACTTTCCCTTGGCCTGCTCCCCCTTAACTCTGTGGGTATGCCTACACCACCATTTTTGTGCCATACCCAGCACCACCACTAAAGATTTAGGCAAATGTAACAATAGTATCAATACCATGTGATACTGATATGAGTGGTTACAATGAAGCATAGGTGAGTGAGACTAGCTCTGGGGATTATGCCTGGTATTGCTGTAGGGCAGTGTAACTGGCTCATGGCCACTGGGGTGGTCGTGATGCCTCCTGATGGCTGTGCGTTGCCTGCCTGGCTCAGGCTCTTATGTAGCTCTCCCTTGTTCACTCGCCTGTCATGCCTCATTCCTACTAGACATAGTGTAAGGAAGGCTGCCTTTGGGCTGTTGGAAAGAGCCTGAGTCTGTGCAAATCATTGGACCCCTCCTCTGGACTTTCTTTACCTCAGCTTGGCCCTCAAGCCTAATTAGGCCTTTTGTGGCTCACGTATGCCCCTGCAGGGCACCTGTAGCCTTAAGGGCAGATTGTGTGGCTCCAAGCCTTGCAAATGTTACTGTACTGTTAGTCACTCTGTAAGGGTCTTGGCCTTATCAGCCTGCTCCCTTTATGCTCTTGCTGGGCCCTTTAGCCCAGGCCCACCGTACAGGACCTGGTTTCTAGTCTGCAGCCTCCCTGCCTGTGGGTCCCCGACCATCTCAGTCCTTGGTTATGGTCATTCTTGGACCTTTGGCCCCTCCTGGGCTCTGACCCTGATCCTGGGCCAGTTGGGCCTACCCAGCTTGCCAAGCTCTGGCAGTCTCTGTCTAAAGCCCCTCGTGGGCTACTGGCTCTCTGAGTAAGCCTTGAGCCTGCCCCAGCAGCATAACTTTAAAATAAAATACTTATGCCCTCCAGCAGATGCCCAAACTGTCTCTGGGCTTAACATAAAATAGGGAATCCTTGCCTGCATAAACTGGTTTTTCTCTCTGCCCCAGGCAGCTTTCTCCTGTTCCCAGACATGCAGTTGCCCAATTTCCCAGTCCCAGTTTCACTGTGACTTCAGGAGCCCTGCTGCTGTCTTGCTAGGAGCTCCTCTTTTCCTGGCCCCCAGGACTGGATTGCCTGACCAGCTGAAGCCTTGGGCTTGTATAGTTCCAGCCCAGACTTCTCTTGGTCAGGTGACTCTTCAATTACCCCCCTCACCACCTGAAAACTGCCTCTCTGGCTGCTTTCTCTCTTACAGTAGGGTTACCATAATTTCCAGTTCCAAAAAATAGGACACCTGCCAGGGAGGGGGTGGAGTGGGATATATGATTGTATGTGGGGAGCAGTGATATGACAGTGCCCTGCTTCTGCCCATTCTATTGTCCCTCACTCTCAAGCCACAGCCCCCTGTTCCCTCTAACCCTGCAGGGTCTCCCAGCCACCATGCCCCTATGAGCAAGGGGTGGACCTAGTGCGGCTGGCTCGGCATAGAGCTTTCCACTGTCCCCAAAGGTCCCCCCTGCCCCCTTTCCCTGCTGGAGGGCCAGGCACCTCCCCCTTGTCCCCTTGCCCTGTTACAGCCCCAGCACCTGGACAGCTTCCCCCAGTGCCAGCAGGCACCCCCCCCACACACTCACCCATCCCCTCCACACACCCACACACAGACTCATATGCTCTTCCCCACTACCCCCAGCCCTCTGACAGTCCTCAAGTCCTGGCCCTTCCCCATAGACTTACCTGCATCCAGCTGCCAGGGCTCCCCCCACCACCCTACTTTGCTGCATGGTGGCCACAATTGCCCTTCCCCCAATCCCAAGGATCCCCTTGCTAGGGCAAGCTGGGAGGTGCCAGAAAAAACACTGATGCTGAGCAGAGCAAAATCCTGGACATTTGAATTTAAAAAAAAATGGCTGAACAGAGATCAGATAATACAAAAAGAGGACAGGTCCAGGAAAACCCGAACATATGGTAACCCAACTTAAACGAGCAGACACACCTTGGTGACCTGCTACAGACAGCTGAATTGTTTCACTTCTGGGATTTGACCCAGGCTGAGCAGGAGTGGATGGGTTGTGCCCCTCAGTGGAGCTTGTAGGCATGCGCAGAGGCAGTATAGATGAACCTTAAATGTTCATGGTTCTTTTAATCTCTGTACTAATTGGAGAGCAGTCATATGCCAAGGTTTCAAAGAGCAGCATTTGTTCAAGTGCCTTGCTGGCTCTCTGGGACAGGTCTCAAAATGAGTCCACCTGTAAGTGAGACAAAATGTCAGGTATGTCATCAATCCTGGGCACATGCTTAGCAGTAAAACAGATGTGGTAAGTCAGTTGCTGCTGGATGAAAGCCCTTGCCAATCTTGAACTGTATGTTAGTAACATATTGTAAACGCTAAAATGCCATTCACTTGTTTGTGAGCTCCTTGCTCCAAATAGTTACCTTCAATAAAATGGGAATGAGTGT